GTTCACTTCGAAGAATGAGAATGAACGGCAATTAATATATAGAGTGTATGAGTCTTATATACAAATTATATGGCATAACGGTAATAATATTACCTTACGGTTACAGAGCAAAATTAAAACTCGCTTTATTACAACCGATAGATGTATCGACGGGAAACACTATACTTGATTCCCCTTAACTGTGTGTGAATATAAGGGTCTGTTAACAGACAACAGTATACTCACACGCAGTATATCCTGTACGGGTCAATGATTAAGTGCAGTTAAGCTTATGGTATTGGTGTAGCTTTATATGCGGCTTTCGCTCAGTACATATAATATGTTGAGAGTCCATTATACGATGGTAGCGTCTCGTCGGCCTAGTATGAGCTGCACCGATGCTGTCAGACCACTGGTATGGCCGATACGTCTGGGCGGCCAAGTATGAGCTGCTCCGGTGCTGACGGATTACTGGTATGGCCAATACATCTGGGCGGCCAAGTATGAGCTGCTCCGGTGCTGACGGATTACTGGTATGGCCAATACATCTGGGCGGTCAAGTATGAGCTGCACCAATGCTGTCAGACCACTGGTATAGCCGATACGTCTGGGGTGCAACGTATGCGCTGCTCCGGTTTTATACAACTTCTTAATCGGTAGACAACAAGGTCTATCTTACGAATGACTTAATTAACATCAAAACTTAAATAAACACTTTTAGAATAAAGTTGCATATTATTTGTCAAATAATATTCATTTAATATAACTGTTTATTTTATTATAAAATATATAAAGTATTACATAAAACCAAATATACTTTTAGCGAAACATTTACAACACTTTAATGACAAAACATTTGTCACCAAATCATTGACTAGTGTTTACTTAAAGAGTATTAGTTTATATAAGTTTACATAATAGTATTGAGTACAGTATAATAATTGTTATAAACATAAACATAAATGCTTTCATAAATTTTTTATACTAACATTAGATTAATAAAAATAAATAAAACAATTCTCATATCATTTTTTGCATGTTGAGTTATAAAACCTTGTAAATATAACCACAACCTTTTACTGAAGGCTTAAACAAAAAGTGCATAAAATAACTGCATAAGTCAATTGCATAATTAATTAATATAAATCAACATATTTATACAACATGAGATGAGCTCATGTTTACCTCAATATTATTATTGATATTTTATATAAAATATGTTAGAATTTGACTTTTAATTCTTGAGATCACCATATTTAGGTGAGGGCTTTAATTTCTGGAGACTCATGCCATTCCGGGGGCTTCTGGGAACACTATGTGCATATGAGGCGATATATAGGGGTAGTGACTCGTAAATGAACTCATCATAGGCATAATGATAGTTAACTGTAATTTCACCAGTAGTGACAGTTTCACATGCACGGCAAATGAAATTTATACAACGTTAATTAAAAGTAAATTAAAATCATATTTTTAACCACAATTCATATATGAAGAATGTGGTTTATAGGATCGTTCGGCTACCCCCTCTCCCCCTATGAGATTTAACATAGGATTGCATGTTAATCCTATGACATAGACTTAACATGGGTAATGCTAATCCTATGAAGCTTTTCCCATAGATTTAACATTAGCTACTGTTATCCTATGGGTAATGTTAATTTTATGGGAGACACATTTCCTATGGAAAAGCAAAATATAAAAGGAAAGGGTAGTTTTTCTGGACAACACTTTTATTCCCGCGGGTCCAGGACCCGAACTTGTCAGACCCAGACCCGTCGACGGGTTTACCCGTCACCCGGACCCATCGACGGGTCGACTCATAATCTTATGTAAAATTAGACGCTGAGTTCGAAAATAACATTTCTAAATGTCTATCTCGAATAATTTTTGAGTTATTCAACTTAGAAATATTTTTGTCGAATAATTTTAATTGACTTAATTTATTAATATGATATATGAATTTGATGTAGAATCCGACTGTGATTTAGAATTTAAAATTCAAAATATAATATAACAAATATTTTTCGGGTTAGTTAAATTTTAACATTTTAAAGTCTAATGGTTTGGATACGATGGATGCAATTAAAAATCTGATTCAATAATTATAATCAGCGTTTAAATCTACATCGAATTCATATATCATATCAATAAATTAAGTAAATTAAAATTTTTTGACAAAAATATTTCTAAGTCGAATAACTCAAAAAACATACGAGATAGACATATAGAAATGTTATTTTCGAACTCAGCGTCTAATTCTACATAAGATTACGAGTCGACCCGTTGACGGGTCCGGGACCGACGGGTCCGGGTCCTGGACCCGCGGGAATAAAAGTGTTGTCCAGTTTTTTTCTATGTTAATCCTATGGGACTAATGTTAACTCTATGGGGGAATGCTATAATATGGGTTTCTATGGGATTACAACTTAAGTCTGTGACATCGGTTTAACATAGGCAATGATAAGTTTATGGCAACGCTTATCCTATTGACAATATTAAGTGTATAGGTAATGTTAAGTCTATGGGTAATTCTAAGTCTATGGGCAATGTTAAGTTTATAGGACTAATGCTTTATATTGAATTTCTATGAGATTATAGCTTAAGTTTATGGTATACCGAATAAAGGCAATAACATTAGAAAATTTTCAAAATATAAACAATAAAGTGAAATAACAATTAAAATTGAAAATGATATTCATTTAACAATGCTTTAAAAAATAAATTTAAAAAATACAATTTTTAAACGCAATATCTAAACATAATTTATTCTTTGAACATATCCCGAATTGTGGTTAACGTATAGCATCGCTGTGTAAACCTTGTTTATTATAACTTTAAATTAAGAAACAACAGGATTTTTATTAAATTAAATTTTTAAAATTATTATTCACTATAAATGTTAATATTAATTGAGTCATCACTAAAGATTCCATTTTCCGGGAATTCCCGAATAAAATAGTTAACCAAATCATCGGGAATTATATACCATTAGATTTAGGGGTTATAATAGACTTAAAATATATAAGTTTTATTTTCCCGATTTTCCCCGATTTTGGCCTATTTTGAGAAAATTCCCGATTTTAGCATATTTTTGAGAAAATTCTTGAAAAGTCTATTTTTATGACAATTATTCCTGAAATTAGATATTTATCGGAGAAAATTGTTTATTTAATAACTATAATATTTTACCAAAACTCTTAATAAAATTCTATACAGAATATGACTGAAATCAAAACATGTTTTGTAATCCACAACATGTCTTACAAAATATATTTTGATTATCTCTGCCGAAGTCTAGCGTTCTTTCTCTCAGTTTAAGATTATTCTTGGAGATAGAAGACTGAAAAAGCTCAAATTTCATGTCATTGACAATTATAATTCATATCTAAATGATTTAAATGCATAATTATTGTCTTAAAATTGAATAAATACATAATTCCCGAATTTTCCCGATTTTGACTTTTTTATTCCCGAATTTGGACGTTTTTACTCCCGGAAAATGGAATCTTTAGTCATCACTTTTCTTGTGTTTCCAAATAAATGAGTTTACAATACATTTCATGTTTAATAAAATTATGAGTCACTGAGTTTATAAACCGCACCACTCAATTAATTATAAGTAAAATATAATATTTGTACCTAGATGTACACTCACTTGTTAGGCTTTTGCTAATCTAAATGATAAACAGATTGATAGCGCTGGGACATTTATTTCTTTGGGTCTAAATAGTCGTTACTGTAATTTATGTTGTATATAAATTAACACGTTTCATGATAATATAATTAAATGCTATTGTTTCATAGAGTAATAATGTGGCAAATTACTAGAAAATAGTTGATGAGCTCTTATGATAGTAGTGATTGAAAAACTCAAAATTTTGGGTTATAGAGCCGCCTCGAAGCCGTGTAAATATAAGGCTCTGACAAGCCGTCACCGAAGCCGTTGATAGAGCCGAAGCTGTGGAGCCGATTGAGACCCGAAGCAGTTTCATAGCCGGAGCCAGTTTAAAGCAGTGTCAGACTAGATATAATGTATATTGAGTTTTTAAATAAAGCATATTGAGCAAGAAGATTTAATATTTAACAATTAATATTGAATATATTTTTTACTAAATTTTTAACATGTGCTAATAATAAATTCTTAAATTAACGTAATGAAAATATAATCACTTATTATAATGACGTACGATTGTTAAAAATAATATGCATATACATGTTCATTTATAACATGAATTCATAATCATTAATTTAATTGCAAAATTTTACTTTATAATAAATTATAAAATAGTTGTTACTAACCAAAGAATCACAATTTTTTTTTATTTTCAAATAGTCAAATATTTAATTAAAAAGGGATCAAAAAGTTATTTAAATAGTTATTTATTTTTAACAATTAAAATAAATAACCGTAATAAAATGTACCTAGTTTAATTTTGAGTATAAATTTTAAAAAAATGTGTAAATTATAAAATATCTAAATTTATTAGTAATATTAAATAAATACTAATCAGTTTAGAAAATTATTACTGTATATAAGTTACTATAAAATAAATTGTAAAAACTGTTAGATCTGATTATTAGGATATGTAAATTTATATAATTATAGTAAATAATAATAATAATGTCATATTCGTAAAAATGATACAATCATTTTCAATTATTATGTAATATTAAACTTAAATACGGATACAAATAAATCATTTCTGAATAATAGATTAAAATATTTAATACAAAATATTTAAAAACATCTGAATTAAATTAATACTTATTTTACTTATAAAACCTGTTATTTACGAAATTCATTATTAACCACAATTCAGCTATGAATAATGTGGTTATTTGGATCGTTCTACCCCCTCACCGTCCGTCCTTCCGTTCTATGGGAATTAACATGAGATCTTAAGTCTATGACTATACTTAAATATAGGAGTTCTCAGATAGATTTAAAATTGGTTTCTATGGGATTACAGCTTAAACCTATGGGAACGCTATAACATGGGTGATGCTTAATTTATAATATGGGTAATGCTGAGTTTATGGATAATACTCATATTAAATATGTAGGTAATTAATATGTTAATTTATTCTTTGAGCATCAACAGAATTGTGGTTAACGTATAGCATAGCTGTGTGAGTTGTTTATAATAATTAATTTCAAAATATTTTGTATAAAAATCGATGTATTTTATGAATACACATCAGATAATATTGAAACAATATTTAATATAACAATGAATATGTTACTTGCTTCAATAGTTTTATCAACAACCATCACTTTGGGTATGTTTTAAATCTTTAAACACAAAACTTAATTCAAACCAATAAATAAACTGTACTTGTATTATATAAATAATTTATGATTATTAACTGATTCAGTGGTTTGCTTTCGAAATGTCGACACGGAGTGTATGAAGAAAATGAATGATTTGAATGCAATGGACGATCGCGAGCTCTGCATTTCGATCGATGAAAATGTGAAACGCGGGCAACAAATGGCACTGAATAGAGCGGCGATCGCTAACTCCGATGGACTATTTTGTTACAAACAATTCTACGATAAATACTACAAAAAGTTGGAGAAATTATTGATGGAAGAAGAAGGCACCAATTGTCCAGAACTTCTCGCCAAAACTACCGTACATTCCGTGAGAAAGGATGCGACCAAAGCTATTGCAGAAATAACTCAAGCAATGGTTTGTAATGAACAGTGGAAAACAGATCACTTCAAAGAAACCATAAATGCGGCCAAATGTAGCGCAAATATCGGTGTTCTGGATATGATCAAATTTAAAACTAAACTTATATATTTAAAAAGTCGTCTCGGAATGAAAGAGTATTGGTTTAGTTTTAAAAATACATTAATGTCAGGAATGATAGAAAAAGTGAGTACTTTTACAAATATTTTTGAATTAATAATTTTAAAAATTAACAATTTATTATCCAATGCATAGATCGCCACACTTTACAAAGAGCTCTACACTGACGCCGAGGAATGTTCACTCAAAGTACCCAAGCCTTCTGACAAATGTCATAATTTAAAGATGTTTATTAAAGAAATCGATTCACCAATTTGGTTAGACTCCAAGGTATAAATTTGTCAAAATTTGTAACAATAATTAGATTTATATTTATAAATCTAAATTGTATTGGTATTAAATAAAACTTTTAAGCATTCATGTTTATTTTTCATTATTGAAACAAAGCACAAAAGCTGATTAAATACATAACATTTAGTTATACTAATAAATGTAAATCTAATACAAATAAAATTAATATAGTTCAAGTTTCGGAAATTGTGCGTAAAAATGCATACATGATGCAATAAGGTATTCCTCAATATATGCTTTGAAGCATTCATTCAAATAGTATTCACGAAAGTATTGATGAGTTGTCGTCAGAGAGGGGTTTGTGTTGTTGTATAAGATATTTAAACAATGGATACAACTATTATCTCTCGATGAAGAACATTGAGAGCTTGTATTAACTGAACCCAAACATCACGGGTTTATTGACACCATCGCCAG